GGGTGATGCTATAATGCTATAAATACTTAGGGAATAAAGAATGTAAGAAAAGGTGATTGCTTCCATGTAGGAGAACTGACAGGTAAAGAGAAGGGGAAAAATCCTGTACTTATAACTTGAGAGACTGACTTAAGGAAAAATATATATAGAGAGAGAATAGAACAGAGGGAGGATGAAGAAGTCTGGTTGTGACTGAATTTGATTTTGAGGTGTGCACAGAAACTATCGCTAAAGGCTCAGTGATGATGTATAAGCTGAGCATAAATTTTGAGATTCATAACCACATTGTGGTTAGCAAAACTGTAGAAATGGTAAGCTGAATTTAGGAATAAAAGTAAAGAATTTTGAAAGAGAATGATCAAGGATGAAACTCAAGTAATATCAGAATTTAGAATATAAGGATAGAAAATGAAAACTTGAAAAGAGAAAAAAAAAGACACTACTGTAAGAAGAAATAGCAGGGCAATTTAATTGAGAAATAATACAATTTTCAACAAATGATGCTAGGGCAACTTGAATCCACATGCAATAAAATAGAGTTAGACCGCCTACCTCATAAACATTTTAAACTTGGCTCTAAATGGATCATAGATTTTTATTTAGAAACTAAAATTCATAAAACTTTTAGAAAAAAATTGCATAAATTTACTTTGTGTTGGATGAAGTAAAGACTTCTTAGAATATCAAGAGCATAAATGATGAAAAAATAGGTAAATTAGACTCCACCAAAATTAAAACTTTCGTGTTGCAAAAGCATCACCATCAGAAAACTGAAAATATAAACTGTTGCTTGGGAACATTTGCAAATTATATATTTAAAAGGAAATTGTATTCAAAATATGTAAAGAACTCTTACAAGTAAAAAAATAAAGCTTGAATGAAACAATTTTAATAAGAAAAGAACCTGAATAAAAATATCTACAAAAATATATATAAGTGGCCACTAATCACATGTAAAGAGGCTCAATATGATAAGGTAGTACAGATTAAAACCACCATGCAACCACTTCACACCAGCTAGGATATTTATAATGACAAATTTTAAAAACCGAAAATAATAATCAATGCCAACGATGTAGAGAAATTGAACCCTTTGTGTATTAATTATAGGAAAGCCCAATGGTGCAACTATTTTGGAAAACACTTTTGCATTTTCTCAAAATATTAAGCATAGAATTATATGAACCTAAACATATATCCAAGAAAACTGAGAAAAAATATTTACACAGTCACTTTTATAAGGATATTCATAGTAGCACTATGCATAATAGCTAAACCAAGGGGAAAATCCTAATGTATTTCAAATAGTGAATAAATAAACAAAACATGGTATATGCATACAATGAAGTATTATTCAGCAATACAAAGAAATTACCCACTGATATATGATATAATATGGATGAATCTTGAGACATAAATGTAAAAAAAAAATTAAGGTCACATGTAGTACTAAATAATATAGATGAAATGTCAAATACTGGGAGAATTCATTACAGACAGAAGTTTGATCACTGTTTTCCAAAATCAATTGGGAGAATGTGTAAGGAGAGGACTGACAAGTAGATCCCAATGGATATAGGGTTTCTGGTGGGGATGATAAAAATATCCCAGAGTTACATAAATGATGAAAAAATTAAGTAAATTAGACTCCACCCAAATTAAAAACTTTTGTGTTGCAAAGCATAGCATCAGAAAACTGAAAATATAAACTGTTGCTTGGGAACATTTGCAAATCATATATTTAAAAGAAAATTGTATCCAAGATATATAAAGAACTCCTACAAGTAAAAAATAACATTTGAATGAAACAATTTTAGTAGGCAAAGAATCTGAATAAAAATATCTACAAAAATATGTGTAAGTGGCCACTAATCACATGTAAAGATGGTGGTGGTTTTGTAAACTTTGAATATGTTGTTTTTAAATGCTGAATTATACACTGTAAAATGTTGAAATTTCTAGTACCTGAATTAGGGTTTCAGTAAAGCTGTTCAAAGAATTACCTTTTGTGTTTCCCCATCCCATCACTTTATAGAGATTCAGTGTAGCTGTGTGGTCTCCCTTGACCTTCTTTGTCAGACTTTGTATAGTTACTTGAAACAACATTTGCTGATTCTAGTATTGGAACTCAACATAGGACAAGAGATTACAGCTGGGTGAATCTGCTGTCTGCACTACTGCATCTTTAAAATTCACATACCAACTCTCTGAAATCATGAAATCAATTTTGGATTTGAGTTTTCTTACAATCATGTGGACAGAATGTCATGGGTGATGGTGACTCATGATCCCACAATTGCCCAAGAAGATAAATCTTCTGCTAAGACATACCTCTGTATTTGAGTTTAGAATAATACTTCAATCCTCTAAATCTTCAGGAGTTCCAAAATCTCATGTAGGCTTTCCTTCAAAGATGTGCTTCTCTAATTCTCTCATGCCCTTTAAAGTTAGATTATTTTTTTCCTTGCTTGCAGAAAGTTCAGAAAAGTCAACAAACCTTTTGTTTCTTTATAGGCATCCAATACAGGAGGCACAACAGGATTTTGAGACACAGTCCAAAGAAAGTTCACTCTGTTACTTTCCTTTCTTAGTTGACAATCTTAGGTTACTTAACTGTTGTTTTACATTGTATGTCTAGTAAAAATAAATAAATTTAGTCTGAAGAAAGTCTTTTCTTGCAAAGTTATATATATTTTTTTCTTCAATAATATATGTTTGGAATTCTTCTGTAAAAATTTAGATGCCAGCTGCACTATATAATTACTAAGTGACCTTGAGCAAGTTACTTGACCACTCTGTCAATTTTACTGCAAGAGAGGAAAATGATAGAATTGAAGATTACTTTTGGTTCCTATACCTAGGACATAAAAATAATAATCCAAAGTGATTGTGTAAACAGAAATGGGTTCTAGAAATTAGTGTTATTTGCTATTATAAACATTTTTTAAAAAATTTTCATTCAGCTGCATGTTTCATTTGAGTATGTAGCTTCAGTCATTATCTTTAAAAGTGAGCAATAAATCAACCTTTAGAAAACTCTGATGGCAGTAAACCAGAGTACCTATCATTTCTTGGAGTCAGAGTTCTATGTTAGCCAAATATGGTGCCATTTTTCTCTGAAAATGGTAAGCAATTCACAGTGAGTTGATTTGTATATGCCTAGTTGTATCTTTTGAGGATCTTACTATCACTCAAGGAATTTATATTCATTGCAACAGTTATTACTTGTCTATTCTGGTATCCTGAGATTTTTAAAGAAAATCTATCTGTATAAATATCTTAACCTCATTGAAACCAGAAATGAAGCATAGTAGTAAATTATATGATTAACTCTTTGCATTTTCCTCATCTATAATAAATCATTAACAACACATACATTGTTACTAAAATAATATGAAAATGGACTTAAAGTGGATGCTTCATCTAAACTTTACTGTAAATGTCTTATCCCTGAACCAAATTATATATATATGTATATATAAAATTTTAAATATGTGTATATATATAATTTTATACATACATATATATAAATTTATTATATATGTGTATATATAAAATTGAAATATATATATATATATATATATATATATATATATATATATATACACACACACACACACACACACACACATACATATATACATACATACATAGTCTTTGCTAAATACCAATATAGGGTAAATCCCTGGATTAGATGATCTGGGTGTGACGTTCCGGGCAATAGTCAGTTTTCCTTAGTACTTTGGAGAACTAGATATTTATTAAAAAATAAAATTGAACTCAGATAATCTAAGTTCCTCACTTTCCTTACATGTAAGACAATGATAATGTGAATTTCTATTTTGTTAAGATGTCTCTTTTTAAAGTAAAGAGAAGTGCTTTATACATTTATTTCACCACGATATGCTATTGTAATACACACATACTCACATACACAGTACAGCACACACCAGTTAGTAAAAATCTTAGAACACAGTGTATCTCTAGATGATGGGTTCCATTTTCTAGAATTGATTTTGCAAAAGGAATCTAGTATTTGGTTTGTGTTGTTGTTTTCTAGTTTAATTTTAAATAAAGCTTATTAAATATTGGCTGCTTCTTATAAAACAGTTGGAAAATAGAGAAAACAAATGACACATAAAATCCTCTCTCTCCAATACCATCAATTGGAGTTCAGTACTGTTAGCAATTTTGATGAATTTTTCAGTTGTCTCCCTGACAGGTCTCACCTGAGGAAATGGACTCCTTCAGGTGCTTGAACATGGACCACCAGCTCCATACCCATTGCTGGTAGCTGGTAAGAACAGATAAATTGGAATCAGAGGAATATCAGAAATCTTCAAAACCGAGGAGCAGCAGACTTTTCAAGGGTCCCAAAACCTCTTTGTAGTTGACACATTCTGCTTAAGAAGCTTGAGATGGCATTATAGGCTCAGGGTGCATTTCTGGAGGCTGCTTACTCCTGCTCTCTTTCCATCCGTATCAGGGAAGTCATTATGCATTTCTAATTAGAACAATATTTTAAACACTCTTCAGAGTTCCGTTCTTCCAAGTAGGTTTAATCAGGCGAGAGACACCTTGCCTAGGACTCAAGAGTCTGATCTTATTGAATCCACTCTCACCCCTTACCAAACACGTCAGTTCAATTATTGGCAGATTAGATTTTTCTTTGCACCCGCCCCCACCCCCTAGTCCTCAGGAGAAAAGGGAATAAATGATCAGCTCCCGACTGGTGCTCACCCGAGTGACCAGAGTGCAGCCGGGTGACCGCAGCCTCGCGCGGGGCGATCGCTGGACACCCCTCCCTCTTCCCGCGCCGCCTCCAGCTGGAGTGACAACGCGCCCTCTGGGCTCCGGAGCCGCGGAGCTGAACAATCCCAGGCAAGGCTAGCCTCACCGGTGACATCACTCTAGAAGATACTCCCAGCTCCTAGCTCCTGCCTTAGCTGGCGTCCGTCCGTTTGTCCGTCTCCATCAGTCAACCACTGGAGAGTGCTCATCGCTTCCTGGGGACGGAGCCGGGCACTGAGGAGCGACAGGACCCGGAGGAGGCAAGGCAGCAAGGGAAGGAGGACCCCGGCAGGCGACAACATGAAATTCAGCCCCGCGCACTACTTGCTGCCTCTCCTGCCAGCGCTGGTACTCAGCACCAGGTGAGTCCAGGAGCCAGAGTGACCTGTGCCAAGGGGCGCTGCCGGTGCGTTGTAGGTCCTACTGCGTGTCACCAGAGAGGGTCAAAGGCACTTTAACAGTTTGCATCTCCCGCCTTAGAGAATTGCTGTTAAGATTTGGGCTCAGACATCCTTCCAGGAGAACAGATACCCTTTCTAATTAACCCAGTCCCTTGGAGAAAGTCTCAGGATTGCTTCCAGCAGAGACCAAAAGCTTCTCTTCAGAGGGAAAGAAGGCATTTTTTTCCTCTATAGCTCTAGTAGCAGTGAACAGAAAACATGCGGTAATAGAACAAAATTAAGAAAGGAAATAGAGAAACAAGAATGGGATTGTCACAAGGCAGTGTCTTCACTGCTGGAGCTGTTGTAATAGTTAAAGAACTCACCATCCTGCTTCAGTGTGCCTGATTTTAAGATATAGGAAACCAGGGCAAACAGAAGGTGCTAGAAGATTTGAAGACTCGTGCAAAAGTTCTTGGACTAGTGAAATGGTCTGTTTGACTTCTTGGGCAGGCTTAGTGATAGGTGTTTTGTTTGGGCTGTCTTGTGCATAGGTCTAATTAAAGAGCACAGAAGGCAATTAAAAGTTAGAAAACATTCTCAGAGTGCTGATGCAGAGACCCAAGTCAGAAACAATTAAGCACTGTACTCCATCACTGGGCATAGATGAGACTTTAAGGCTTAGTACAGAGGAGCTATTTTTAGTGGAGATTTAAAATGCAGTGATTGAGAAGAGTTTTGTGACTTGCTAGTGTTGATCAAGTCCAAAGTTGGTGAGGGGTTTGCTTTCTTCTTCCACAAGCATAACACAAGGGTGGACTGTTTCATTGCCCAGGACTGAGTCTTTATTCTGCATGCCCTCAGCATCATATTGGCAGAAACCACTCTGCCTTGGCTACTATAAAATAAAATAACACACAGAGGATGAGGCTTCTTTCAAATCTACATGAATAGAAACATTGTCTGATGGTGCATTTGATAGAAAATAAGAAAAGAACATAGAATTGCTTATAATTCTGAAGTGGAAAAAGATAAAGAAAACTCATTACCACTTTAAAATGATAAAAAATTTTAATACCATTCCTAATTCATACACCTTGTCCTTCTCAAAACTTTGTTTGTTATTTTGTTTGTGTGTGTGTATGTATGTGTGTTGGAGCTGTTTCATTCAGCCCCATTAAGTGGATGGATTTAGTCTTTCCTTGCACACAAAGCCCAGGTGAATTTCTCAGACTAAAACACAATTTAAATTTTATTTTCCTTAAGGTTTGCTTGTCACTTTGGTTCGTAAGATGCACATGGTTTTAAAGAATACCACTTTGCCTCTGAGTATTATCATAACTTGCTCCAAATGCAGAGACAATTTCAATATTTGTGTTTAGCTCTAAACAGATTATTATATATCACAGTGATTCTTTGAATTCTTGCCGTTTACTCTTATGTTCTAGTTTAATAATTACTTGTGTAGTCTTCTAGAGAAAGGAAATTTCCAAAGTTTATGCACTTAAGTAGATACCAGTCAACATATGCTTAAAACAGTAAACATTTAAGTGATGGAAACCCAGTGTACAGTGATTTTAAAGGGAATAAGAATTTTCAAACTTCCAAAAGTATATTTGTATTTTAAAGATGTTATAATTTAAATGACTTAGAAAGCTGTAAATTCTCATCTCCAAAGTTTTAGGGGTTAGTAATATAACCACAAATAGCCATATTCTTTCTCTGATATTAAAGTATTAATTTCTATAAAAACAAATTTCTTTAATAAAAGTCAACACATTTATAACAAAAAAAAATGAAAGTCATTCCTTGATCTCTTTAGATATAAAACTTCTGCAATGTTGGTATGTATAAAATTGTGACAGGTCTTTAAATTTTTCAAAAAGAGAATACTAAGCTTGAAAAGACAAAAATTTCATAGTCAATACCACATATTGTTAATGTGAATACACTGTAGGAATTTATTTTACTGGATATCCAGTTTACCTTGTGATGGTGAACACATTTCCAAATTAATGTGGTACTATCAGTATGTCACTTTGCAAAAAGAGAATATGTTTTAAAGAAGTCTAACAGAAGGCCATTCTCATTGCAATATTTGACAGTTCTTAAAGGCATATGGATAATGTTCAGGTTAGAACCCAAACTGAACAGCTTTGTGGGAACAGTTGCATTAGTAAGGTTGAACTTACTGTCCTGCTGTGAAAAACTGTGCAGCTCAGTCATGGCCACCTGTGACAGTGAATTTTCAAGCCAAAGACTACTGTTAACTTTGTTTCTTAGTGAGTGGCACTATATGTGAAGCAAATGGCATTTCACGTTCTTAGGTTGTGTAGAATGCCTTAGCAGAGGGTGATAATTACTGTTTTTTTTTTTTCCTATAACCTTTGGGTAATGTCACTTGTCTTTTAATGTCAACTTCCTTGTAAAGTGTGGGGAATATGCAGCTGAGACCCTTTTGCATAAAAAAAAAAGAATTTGTTTTATCTCTTGCTCTGAATATAGCTCCTCAATACTTTAGTATTTTTCCCCAATAAGTCTAAAGTTGGTTTCTATTGTAAACTAAAGCAAAAAGTTACTGAAAGAAATACTGCAGTTAAGAAAAGTCACTATTCGATAGTATTTGTGCCATAGGAATGGAAACTCTAACACAATTCTGAATTTTAAATAGAAAATTTTGAACAGAGTTGTTTCTGTTTGCTCCTCCTCTTCCTCTCATGTGCTGTAGCAACTCTAGACTCTGAAGCACTAAAATCCCCAAATTTCATTGGAAAAAAAAAGTAATTATCCTCCAATTATAGTTACTTTTTGCTATGAGAAAGATAAATGTCACCTTCAACAGTAGCCAATAATTTGTCTCTGTTTTTCTGGTAAATTCCATAGAGTCAAAAAGAGCTGTTTAATGTACTGGCGTATTGTCTTTCTTGTTTGTAAAGTACACATAAATTCAAAACGTCAAGTTAATAATATGAATAATGTAGCTAATACAGAGACCCATTTAACCTGTGCACAAATAAATGTGGTCAAAGAAAGCAAATATATGTGTTGGTTTAATAGCTTCAGAGTAGAATGACTGTACTTTTTAAATAGCCTCATTCTGTAGAGGTATTAAATTGCTATTCCAAGGCAGCCAGTAATTCACTTCAGAAAGAAGTGTAGGTATTAAAAAGAATGGTAGGGTGAAAAATTCTTTAGAAGTTCTTGGTGAAAAGGGACTCATGGGGCACTGGAGAAGGTTTGTTCTTTAGTCTCCTGAATCTCTGTTCCTTTAGGCTGTGGCTATATTCTTTATGCCTCTGGATTGTTAAGTTTTAAATGACTTAATGGGGAGAGATGTAGCAGGGAGGAGTGAAGGTCCACATACTTCTGGTGATTTTCCATTAAGGAAGAACTCTGAGCAGATGGTCGGTTATAGTCTTCCCAATAGGAGTCACCTTAGAGATCTCTCCTGGGCCCTCTGAACAGCACTCACACCACATGTTTGCTTGGAGTCTATGTTTAGATGATACTATATATTGAGAATACCCCAGGCCCCTGTTTGTTCTGTGACTTACTCTAACCTCAGGATAAAGTTTAGAAAAGGACAAAGATAAAGATAACAGTAAACACACAATCAGTACACACACTTACACACAATTATTTTTTGAGACAGCATCTTTCTATGGCTCCCAGGCCCAGCCTTGAACTCATGATACTGCAGCTTAGCCTCCCAATTAGCTGGGCTCACAGGTATGCTACGCTGCATGTGAATTCACTCACAAATATTTTATATTTAATGTGGGAGGCAGTCTCACTCTAATTCCCCTGGAATAGTGTGAGGTAATTTGTTTTTCCCGTAATTTTACACAGTGTGAGCTACACATGACCCTTTATGTGAAACCACCTAGACTACCCTGAAGAAATTCTTTGTGAAAAGTATTGGAATATCCTATGTAAATAAGTTAGAGAAATAATTTTCATAAGAGATTTGGAAAGAAAAGATATTACAACATATGAGGTTTCAGTTCTATCCCTGAATTGTCTATTGTTGAAACAATTTATTTGGAGATTATCTTTGGGGATTAAATTCTTTCTATGAGTAAATGGTAGGGACACCCAAAAGATTTACGTGTTGGCTGTGCAATTGTCCCAAACTGAGTAAGTGGTTGAAGAGAACTTGACCTTCCAACCAGGAAGTAAACATCAGTGGAACCACTGAGGAGTTTGTGAAATGAAATTTTTTCACATGCATTTTGAGACACTTTGTGTGTGTGTGTGTGTGTTTGTGTGTGTGTTTCTGAGTGACTTCTAGAGGATTTGTTATGATTACTTGAACAAATGGGACTAAATCATTTAAGAAACCTGATTAAACAGACACTGTTCAAGATTATGTTTTCTTCTCTGAGGAATTAAAAATAAAACTACCTGAACTTATCTTTATCCCTTCAGAGTTGTCTGTTAGGTTTTCATTATCATATAATGAGTGTGCTCACAATCAGTTAGTTATTGCATGAGGCGTAAGGACAATGAAACAATAGATTAAGGACAAATACATATCCCTAGAACTAGTTATATACACAAAAAGGTATCTATAGGAAAAAAATTGGATGAAAGACAATATCAAAATTTTATGCAACGTTGTAAGTGTATATGGAGAAGAGAGTAAATAATGCCAATTTAAGGAGAATCAATAGTAACTTCTACTTTCTAAGGATGATGAGGTGAATAATATTTTGTAATCAATGTTAGTATCATGCAACAATTGCTAGTTGTATGATATTATGGAAATTGCTTATCATCGATAATCATGGTACCCATGTAGAAAACAGTATACCTCATGGAGCTTACCTATTATGTTGCTTTAAAGACTGAATGAGGGCTGGGGGTGAAGCAGCATTCAGAGCACTAACTTCACATGTGTGAGGTCCTACATTTGTTCCCCAGCACCACAGAAAAAAAATTAAAAAAAATAAATTTTGAAAAGAATTTAGGCATGTTCCATG